AAGTGGGCGGTGTTAACAGTTCAAACTAAAATATGTTCTTTACTTTGTGGTTCAAAATTGAGTACAGTCTCTTTAAGTCAGACGCCCTAACTAATTCTGTTCTCTATATTTATAGAGTCTCGGGACAAAGAGCCCACTGACTTGTGATCCTTTGAAGCTGGATACAACTTGTATAAACGATCTACCATTATAATTACACAGAGCTTGTTCCTAGACAATTAAAAGAAACATTGCCCCAAGTCAAATACTTTAGGTTAAAACACATTAAGAGTCAAGCTATAAAATGGAAGATTAACATCAGAACAGACAGCCTACCCAGTGAGAGTGCGGGGCTCCCTGTACGCATTTTGGAGAGGGTCCCTGTCCCAGTTTGATTGTAGTCCAGAGCACGGAGAGCCGGGTTGCCCTGATGCCCCCTGACAGATTGGGGCTGAGGGGTGTGTCTTGCCCCCCATGCGTGCATCTGTGTTTACTCATGTATTTGAATATCTTTGGGGATGCTGCATTTCTTCACTGTAATAGCAGGAACTTGGGGAATGAGACCACCGTAATGTTGTTTATTTGTTTAAGCCAATCAAATCTCATCATGTTTTCGATCATGTCTTCCTGCTGCGAGTTCCGCCCAAGCTTTTCAAACATACCAAATGGCTTTTTAATAGTGCTTTTGCTCATGTGAATCTAATTCCTACAATAATTGATTAATCATTGTGTTTTTTATGTAGCAATAAAGCAACGATTAAGGGGAGCGTTTTGGGGTTCCTGTAGTGTGGCTCTTGCCTTTAGGGAGCACAAAATGAAAACATAAATGGATACACTAAAGCTGAATACAATATTGTTATTTGAAATATAGCACGAAGGTAAAATTGTGCCAGCAATAACATGTTTGGCTAAAATAATGGGTGTGACCACAAAATATTACATTAGTGCTTAGTTATTACATCTATACTCACTGGAATAGTGTTTTATGTATGTTTCAGGTGTATTGGGGTTTAACAGAAAAAGTTTTACTATTATTATTCTTTACAATTATGATGATTTACTATTGGGAGCTCTCCCATCAAAACCAGTACTAAGCCCGGAACTAAACGAGGACTTGACCAAAAGTCAGAGAACCAAGCCAGATCAATATCATGATTGGGATCAAACCAAGGCACATTGCGGACAGTGTGGTGCTGAATAAGATTTTGTTAATTGTAAGAATTTCAAATGTTACTCCATGCAAAGCATGGCGGAGGTCTGTTCTTCTTTAGAAATAGACAGTTTTACAATAATTTTACTAACTTTGTTTGTAACATACTCTTTAGTATTGAAATCATTTAATTGTAAGACATCTTCTGACTTATTAAACATTCTATCTTAAAATGACAGCCTACAGAATATGCACACAGTTGCAAATCCAAATCCCTATAGGCACGCCCCAACACAAAGAGACTGTTGTTTGTTGTAGTAAAACTTAATTTACATTTTACGCGTACAGCCTTTGAATATTTCCACTAAGAAACCCTTAAAGACAAAACAATTGTTCATCACATTTCCACCAAACACAGTATTCAATTACTGGTGTGTAGTTGTGGGGTAAGTTCCTCTAGTCTAGCCTGGAGTTAGTATGTGTGTCTGGTGATCCGGTGAAGCATGGCCTTAGCCTTTAATGAGCTAGCACGTGATTGGATGCTCTGTCTGTGAAATTGAGGCGCTGTGTGCGTAAATTGAATTATGGTTTGTGTGCGATAAGAATGTGCATGTGAGAAAGTGCCTGTAAGTTATACATCTCTGCTATCAGTGTTAAGTGATTTCCATGGACACAAAAGCACATTGCACTGCCAACAGCCCGCATAGTTTGGATAGATGAGAGACAATTTGGCAGAAGACACTAAATCCTGCCAAAATGGAAATGTGTTTCAAGTGGTCTGTGAGTAAGGAATGAACACGGGCATGCTCCAAACGTCTCTGCGGCACAATGTCCATATGGTACAGTAACAATCATCCATGATAACTTTGACTTTACTCCCCATTTTTGGTTCATCGTTCAAGTCACTCCCTTGTTTTGATTTGTTTAAAAGTCAACACTGCTACATTGACTCTAATGTGTCCTGAAATGATGCATAGTGAATACAATTTTCATTAACACATCTCTAAATAAAAAATTTGTCAAAACTGAATTATATTTACATAATTTGGCTGGATCATCATGTTACACAAGTAGAATAGGGAAAATTATCTCTAAAACTTAAGGGTGTACTTTGTAACTTTATGGTGGAGGGTTCAACACCTGATTCTCTTCTTGGAGATGTTATTGTTTTTTCCTGGAATGTTCCACAGTATGGCATTAAATGTGTCTATCCCCATAAAAGGTACAGGTCAAGTCTGTGACGAGGTGACTCCACTTACCACAAGATGCATGTTTTTCGAGATATTTGTGAGCAACATAAACTTAAATTAAATTAATCTGAAGTGAATACTTTTAATTACATACTACACTCCAGATAAAACAATAACATTACATTGGGGACAAGTGGGTAACCTTCTACCAGAAAAGTTACATAATGTGCCTTTAATCTCTTTTTAGGTGTTAAATTTTTACTTAACTACCTAAAAATGCAGGTTTCGTACAAGTTTCAACCCAAAGTCTTCTGTCATCAAAATCCTACTTTGAACAACTTCACCTAAAACTTCCTTCACCCCAGCTTTATTTAGTAACTGGCCACTCTTGTAATACAACCCAAGGGTCAGCGAAAACACATTTGTTGATCGATCACTGATTAGCCAAAAACTAAACAACCAAGCCTGCTCACCCCTGAACCGTGTCAGTGTTTAATAGGACAAACAACAGCTCCACTGCTCACGGATGTATGGGGAGGAGGGAGAGGATGAGGAGGAGGAGGGGAGTTCAGTGATTCACCTCAGTCTTTTCTTACTCTGTGAATGCCCCAAGAGCCACAAGGAAAATACCTCACAGCTGTTCTGTCTTGATCCAGGCCATTCCAGTGGTCTACTCTCACTCAGGCAGGCAGGGGCCCACTCCTCAAGACCATTGTACTTTAGCTTGTCCTGTGAATCTACAAAATCTACCTACTAAATGAATACTGTGATCCACCAGTGACTACATCTGGAGAACAGTTGACTAAACAGACCAAACTTCTAAAGAAATACACAAAAATTCAAGCATGACTCAGGTTTAAACAAGACTAGGGTTGTATCAGGGTGTAAGTATAACACTACTATAATAAACTAATGTGGATCAAACCAAGTAATGACTAAAGCAGATATCTGGCAGTATCTGGTAGTGCAAAGATTGAAAAACATGTATTTAATTTAAACACAGTTGACTTATTACAAAGCGAATCCAACTGTATTTATTTAACTGTTATTAATTCTACAAATAATCACAGAACCGCTTTGTATTAATAAAGGTTAAAATATTATGGGATGTTCTGGGTCTACATGAACCAGGATATCAGCTGAACACAGTACTGAATATCATGAAACTGATAATGTTCCAGCATTTTTTTAACTAGATTGACACCATTGATACCATTATCATATCGGTGAATATCTAACCAGGACTAAACCAATTTTAATATATTATACTCATGTCTACATCAAGACCACAAATAGAATCATAAAACTATGATCAAACAAAAACATACACATTTACCTGACTGAACTAGACTTAAACGCGAAATAAACCATGGCTAAAACTAAACTATACATCTAGACTGAATCCATGACAACATGAGGTCTTTTAAATCTTTAAAAGTTACTCATACCCCAATTTGAAAACCACAGAGCTATAAACTTATCTGAACTCTCCTCACTCTTTTGAAACTCACTTAAAGTTGTAGAAACATCTCAAAGCTTCAGAACAATAGGAGAAAAAAAAAAGTGTGGGTTGGAAGTAGTAAGTATCACGTATGCAGCAGGGAATGCCAGTGTCACGACCTCAAAGGGAGAAGCCAAAGGGAGAAGCCAAACGGATCAGCCTCTGCGCGCTTATCTCGCTCCCATCTGTAGTAGATTTGGTGACACGAGGAACACAGGGGGGAGCCCGAACACTTACACCCCCTCTGCACCCTCCCTAAAGCAAACAAAGGGACTTCTCTTGTTCTCCGGCTGGCAAGAGCGGCTCACAGCATGAATAATTAACACGAGGCAAACAATAAGCAATGTCACTAACTTCTCTGGTACTTGTCAGCATTGGTAAGAACACAGTTGAGGAAATGCTGCATAATGTGTTAAAGGGACAGTATTATGTTGTCATGTCAACCCTATGCACACTGTCAATCAAGAAGGCGTTTCATTTACTTCAGTCTCTGGTGAACTGCTGTTACTTTAAACCAATGGAAAAAGCATTCTGATCTTTATTATTATTTAGTGACAAATGATGGGCTATAAGATATTAATAAAACGTCATGCTATTGGTAACTCCCTCTAGTGTTCCAGTGTAGAAACCGAGCATAGTTTGTACGAGTAGCAAGTCTTGCTTGCTACTCCATTAGGCCTCCTTGACGTATTTTCAACTTAAAAGTGCACCAATTTTTTCTGGTGGAGGGTCTTGTTTTGTTTAGATTGCTCCACTTTATGGCATTAAACTTGATCTCCATGGAGACAAGCAGTTGACGCCACCAAACCAGCTTACAGGCCAGATCTCTGGAGAGGTGTAGTTATCTTAGTTAGTTATCTTAGTTATCTTATCTTATTTAGTGGTCCATATCTTCTTTTGTAGTCTGCTTTATCCAGTTTTACAATCATTTATAAGTGGGTAATTTGGCTTACATGAATTTCTGTTGTGAAACAAATATCTAATGAACTTTAAAAGTCCCCAGGAAAGGTAAAATAATTACTAGGGAGACAGCTTCAAAACAGAAGGCTACTAATGTGCCCTTGTAATAAAACAAGCCAGAAGAGCGAGTGAGAGTGGGACGTAAACGAGGGGCGTGTGCGTCAGATGGTATACCCCGCCCACTGGAGGAGCATACGCGCTGTTGGATGTGCCGCTCAGCTCTGCGCTCAGTGAGTTCACCAAACTGTTTGCATACCAGGCTCCCCTTTGCACCGCATGCTTGTCCAAATTGGGAACGCAGATCTCGGAGGAGCGCTGGAATTTATGAGTTGGACGCTGCCGGGTACATTTCTCCTCCTTGGACATCCCGACTGACAGACGTCTTCTCCTAATCCTCCAAACTCGACATTGTTTAAATCTTTTACGCACGATTTTGTAGTGATACTTTCTCGGGGAATCTGCTTCTTGTCACGGGTTTCCAACACTGAGCTGCGCTTTGAGGTAAGAATAATCACGCTTTATTGTCTCTAACTTCATTGTTTTACTTGGGAGATTTGAGTTAAATTGCTGGCTTTGTGAGCGCCTTGTTTAACGGAGGCGTTATTCTAAACATCGTGTCTTCGGGGGCAGAGCTTTGGGCTGTGTTTGATTCTCCGCTTACTTTGTTATTGCAAGTTTGGCTAGGGATTGTCTACTGCGTAAACTGCATCGAAATTGTTGGAAAAGGAATTTTAGTTGTTTAAGAACATTGTTTAGTCTCGTATCTCGCGTAGTCTCGTTGACCCCTCCGGCTACACGCAATAATAGACCGATTGGAGAAGATGCCATTTAAACAGTTGCGTTGTATTGTGCGGTCAGGGAGCGCATGTAACGGGTAGTTTGAGAGATGTGTGTCACTCCTGAATCTGGCAGCCTTCCCACGGGGATCCAGCCGTGCGCCCGCGTGGAAAAGGAGGAGGCGGTGCGCGCGGGGATGTGTGGGGTCAGCAGATGGATGCGTCTGACGGCCGTACCTTTTGCTGTAGGGCACGAGTTCACTGTCACACAGTATTAATCAAAAGATGCATCAGCCACGAATCACCTCGGCCCATCCTCTCTGTTTGATCATCAATGAAGCTTGTGACATGTGACTGTGGCAGCCAGGGACACTAGATCACATTACCATTTCCTAAAAAGTTGTGACAGTGTGCCAAATGAACTGGCTGAATGATCTGTAAATCTTATAACCACTTTTTCCAATACATCTGTTCAACCAATCTTTTTAAGCTAGTTTTGGCTTAGGTTAGTTTATTTCCCATTTGTAGTTAAAAACACATGTGCAAAAAGCTCAAAGTGCACATTATTACACAAATATTACACAACTATTGCTGCTAGATGTTAAGAAAATTCTGAAATAATATAGTTATCTCAAACACAGGCTCTTTTAGAAAAACTTTTTGATCTAAAATTGTGAACTTGTATATGTTTCTTGTATTTGATTATTTCCAAGTTGAGAGACACTAACCTAACCAAAGTTCTACCTAGTATTCATCACCAAGTTAACCCAAGCTGGACAGCATTCAACTTTTTGCCTACATAGACAAAACCAGTGATGTATTGCAGACTCGTAGAAACCATAATGAAATTTTGCCAGAGGGTACCGGCTCCCAGGGACCCATTAACACAAGTCAGTGTCTGAGCGAGTGTGCAGTCCTTCACTGTTTTGCCCCAAGTTAAAGTCTTCACTACTCAGTTCAGCTTTCAATCTCCTGGTGTCTGGAGCAGAGGACCATCATAGCCCGCCCAGCAGCTCTGCCAGACTGACAAATCTGCATCTGTTATTCTGTGTGTGATTAATGGAGAGGACCACAATGCCACTGCTGCAGCATGCACAAAGCAGGGTTTTTCTTTTTGCCCACAAAAACTGTTGCTTGGAATGTATATGGCAAAACAAATGTTTTTTCTAGGATTTTCAAGATTTTTGGACCAAGAAACAAAAGTATCACTTTTTTTTTTTTTTTATGAAAAAGAGATGAATTCAGGACTACACCAGGACGAGGACAGGCCTACATAAGAACATTAAAGGAGACAGAACTTTTAAGAGCTTTGTTTTCCATTTTTATTCATTCGCTCAAGTTGTATTCATGTTTGAGTAATCTTTATTTTCCTGTAGTCAAGATGCCATTGCTCTAAAATTTCTATTTTCCTTCCTCCCAAACACTCACTGCTTTGTACTCCACTTTTTTATGATGATACACATAGGATTCATCAGCTATAGCTACAGATCTTAGATCTTAAATTATGCAAGTCTAAAGCCAAGTTACCATTGCAGACATATTGCTCTTTACTACTTTTTAACCAAGTATAAATTAGTAATAAACCAGATGATGAATCTAGAACTAAAATAGGTTTAAAGTAAAGCCAGAACATACCTAACCAGAACCAGTTTAGACCAGGTTCTGAACCAATCCAGGACAAAACTAACTTCTCAAACAGATCCATGATGTTTTTCCCCTCTGTAATGGTTTTACTTAGGAGATTCCTGTATCTAAACCTCCCCTCCGGCATTCTTTACTTAATACACATTTGACTGTTTGAAATTGTTTTGTTGCTGAGTGATTGATACAACTGCAAACATAAGCCATTCCTTAGACTACACTATAATTAATACAGGGAATAAAGGTTAGCTGAAACAATGCAACCTCTGTATGTATTTTTCACTGTGGGTAGCAATTAGTCAGTGTTTATGGCAATTGCAAATCTCCATTGAGTAAAGCTAGTATTTATTCCACCTACAAACCTGTAACACCTGGTATGAGTCTTGCCACTGGCGCTAGCGGTGCACTCATTTGAATAGCAGCTCTATAATGTGTTGTGGCTAATCACACTTTTGCCCGTGCCAATGCTAACGCGCTAACAATGAAATCCTACAGTCTTTGTCATGCTGTTCTTGTTAGAAAAAAATGGGTGTGAATTGATGTGTGGTGGCTCAAGCTGCAAGGAGCACAGTAGCTGGTGACTCGGGCTGGCAGAGTAGCACTCATTAAAAGCCTAAAATTAATCAATCTTTTGGTTACACATGGCTTCTCCTGATCCCAATTTCCCATAACATCAGTCCCTCCTCCACATACTAACCTATCATTTCAACATATCAGGCTGCAAATGAGGCAAGAGCATTGAGGATTTTTGGCTGGCTATTTTGACTTTGGATACTCCCACATTCTCTCATATTTGTCTGTCTGTGCAGTGTTGAACAACATTATGCAAACATGAAGCATGCTGTTTCTTTGTTGAATAATGAATTTACAACAGAGCCTGAATAAGAGGGATTTTATGCAACTGATTGGAGGTGGCCTTTTCTGATTGGCCACATTCATATGCAAAGCACAAATGTTGCTGTTTTACACTTTTTTATTGAAATGACAATACATTTTGACATGTTGTTTGCTATAATGGTGTTGCTTCAGACAAAATTGCCAACAAAATTGAAAAAAGCATGATGATAAAGCCCATTAACATTTCCTGCTGTAATGTGGCAGAGAGCATTATTCATGTTTTGTGGCGTTTGCATGTTCTTCTCATGTCTGGGTGGGTTTCCTTCCAGCTAGGTACTCTTAAATTCAAAACTTTTTGTGGTCAGGTTGCCCCGGTAACATTGAGGGATGAGTCAAATGCAAGAACACGCTCTTATGTGGAAAATTATACCTTTGTCTTACTTTACCTTACTAACCTATGTTATTTTTTTGGCATTTGCAACCTATTTGTCTCCATAAAGTTGTGACAGTTTGCCTAGAAGCTTCTATAGTGGGATATTTAACTTATCTATTCTCAGTGGAGATAAGTGAAAGGGCAAGTTATGATCAGACCTTTGGAGAGGTGATGGTGCTCACTGTATGTATGTTTCCCTGGGTATTTTATCAGCAAGATTACCCCCTGCATTTGACTAAATGCAAGACTGATACATTTAATGTAATGCCGTGGAACATTACAGGCAAAGCAATTACATCTCTTCATGGAATAGGTGTGTACATCCACTAATAAAGTGACACTGTCCACCTTTAATATAATCCTAACATTTTTTCAGAATTGGGTCTGCAGACTGAGTAAATGTTAACCTACTTTTATTGCTGCAGTACATCTGATGTCATGTGACCTTAGAGTGCACCTCATCCATCTTTCCTTCATACTCATTTTCCATTGTCGTCATTGCGCCTTCCTTTCACATTTGTATCCATATTGATAGGTTCAGAGCAGAGGAGGCAAGAGGAAAACACGGTTGGGTCATCAGTCCTCACTCCCCACTCATGCATAAGCTCAGTACAGCAGCAGTGGTCCGCAGAGAGCTGGAACTAAATGGAGTATCTATTGGCTCAATGAGAAAATTGCTTTTTTCGATTGCAAGAGGACCCTTCATTTAACGTGCGTGATGCAGAGAACTCGGGCCAGTAATGGGTTTGGCATCTCTGTTGTCAGGAGAGACCAGAGAGAATGAATTTGCAGCAAGCAGAAATGATTCACTCTCTGAAAAGATGCATTTTTCATAATATATTTAGAAGCCACAGAGGTGTATGTAGCTGTTGCATCTGTCAGTTCTGTTTTAGAGATGACTTGGAGTTGAGACATTGTGATTTCATGCAGTCCACCAAGGAGATTTCTTGGCTTACGTCGTGAAGTTACTGCTCCAAATAAAATATAACTTTTTAACATATCAATTTGTAATTTGCTCTCCCAGGGTTTTTTGCCTGAAATCCTTCCTTAACTTCATGCACAATAGACTTAGGTTGTCAAACATATCAAATTCCAAATATGAGTCAATACCAAATTATTAGCATTAGAGATTGACAGATATGGGCTTTTTCATGGCCGATACTGATTGTTTTGGCCGATATGTTGGGACAATTTTGATTATTTTTCCCAAATTATGTCATTTCAATTTACTACACTTCTTACAAGCCCTGTTTTACTGTTTTCACAAACCTTTCAGAAAGCACTGAAGTGACATTTTGTGTAATTATCTCTTCGCAATAAAGTGGCCAAATAAGGCTTAGTTTAGCGAGTCAGCCAAAACAAAATATGTCGTTGTGTATGAGATTTAAGGCTGATTGCCGGGACTCTACAAAAGTGCAAAGTGCAAATATTGGTCCAGTATATCACTCTATCTCTAATTAGCATCAGCATTTTATTAGCACAATCACAAACTAGTCCTACAGCTCTTTTTAATGGAATAGAGTCCAATGCTCTATACTCTATAATTTTCCTTTTATCACTACCTAATTAGATATTGTTGGTGTATTGGTGCTTTAATATGGCAAGGCAAGTTTATTTTGTATAGCACAATTTGTACACAAAGTAATTCAAAGTGCTATATATGGATGTCCTCCAAATCAAACAGACTTCCATGCATTCCTGACAAATAACTCATGTGAGAGTTTTCCATTAAAGTTACTCGTCACCATTATCATTTGTCGGTGTGGATCAGGATGTAGTGACTGACCTAAGTGTTGGGGGGGCAGAGCTGGCAA